GAGACAGTCACTGAGGGACAGTCAGTGAGGGACAGTCACTGAGGGACCCTCTGTCGGGACAGTCACTGAAGGAGCTTTGCTGGGGGACAGTCACTGAGGAACCTTCGCTGGGGGACCCTCTATGAGGGATCCTCGCCGAGGGACAGTCCCTGAGGGACCCCCATTGAGGGACAGTGACTGGGAGCCCCTCGCTGAGGGCCTTCGCCTGCCGCCGCCGCGCCTCGGGGGAGCGACCCTCCCGACAGCTCCCTGCCGGCGCCGGGGCCTCCTCCCGCCCGGCTTTGCCCTTCTGCCATGGCCGCTCTCCCTCCCCCGCGCCGCAGCTGCCGCTCCGTGCCCGTCCCTCCGCCGGCGCCTGTCGAGCTCTGACGGGGGAGAGAGGGCGGCGCGGGGCCGGGTCTGACCCGGGCGGGCTGAGGTGGGGGCGGCGGGCGGACAGAAACAACACTTTTTAATGTCTATTATATTTATATATTTTTTTTAAATATAATTTTTAACGTATTCTGCCCTCTCCCGCGGGCGGAGGGGGCCGCTCCGGGCTCCCCCGGCGCTGAGGCGGCGGTGTCGGTGTCGGGGGGGAGGGGGAGGGGCGGGCGAGCGCTCCCGCCGCTGCCCCAGACAGTGGGCGGGGCCGGCGCGCGCCGCCGGCGGGTTCGTGCCCGCGCGCCGCCGCCGCCGCCGTCTCGGTCTCCGCAGTGAGGTCACGGGTGGGCGGCGCGAGCGCGGCGCCTGTTCCGCTCCCCGCGGCCGCCGGAGCCCCCGCGGCGCCGGGTGAGGAGCGGGGAGCGCGCCGGGGACCCGCCGGGGGCGGCGGCGAGCGGGGCGGCCTCGCCGCGGGTGGAGGGTGGGGGGGGGGGGGGAGTCGGGGGGAAGGGCGGGAGCGCCCGCGGGGGATGGGAGGGAGCGGCGGCGGCGGCGGCGCGGAGGCGGCGGGGAGAGGGGGACAAGGGGAGCGCGGGGGAAGCGGGCGGCACGGCGGCGGTGCCGGGCGGACAGCGGGGAGCCGGGCGGGGCGGAGGGGAGAGCCCGGCGGCGGGAGGGGGAAGGGCTGAGCCGTGCCCGGAGCGGTGCCGGCGGGGCCGGGGTGAGTCACGGCGCGGGAGGGAGCGGCGGGATGCGGCGTCCCGGGAGGGGCTGCGGGGTCGGGGGCTGAGAGTGGGGTCGGTGCCCGGCCCTGGGCTGGGGGGGAGCGCCCGTCCTGCGGGGCGTACTCGCCGGGAGAGCCGCTCCGGGCCACCCCCTCCCCCGCCGGCATCGCCCGTCGGCCGGGCTCGCCCCGGGGCTCCGTGAGTCACTGGGAAAGGCACCTTGCCTCTGGCAGGGAACCCCAGGATGGCTTGGGTTCCAAGGGGCCTTAAAGCTCATCTCATTCCACCCCCCTGCCATGGGCAGGGACACCTTCCACTAGACCAGGTTGCTCCAAGCCCCGTCCAACCTGGCCTTAAACAATTCCAGGGATGGGGCAGCCACAGCTTCTCTGGGCAACCTGTGCCAGGGCCTCACCACCCTCCCAGCAAAGGATTTCTTCCTTGTATCAAATCTAAACCTCCCGTCTTTCAGCTTAAAGCCGTTCCCCCTTGTCCTGTCACTCCGTACTCCTGTCAAAGGTCCCTCTCCAGCTCTCTTGAAGCCCCTTCAGGTGCTGAGCACACCCTGGGATTGCCTGTGACCGGCCCCTCTCTCTGTTCACAGGTTATCAGGAAGGACTGGCAGAACTCTGCTCTAGCACATGAATTCAGCCCATGGCCTGGATCTCACCTCTACTACTAATAACTCGGGCTGGGAAAATTCTGACACACGCCAGTGACATCTGGGCGAAAGGTGACTCTCCAGGGACGTTTAGCTTTTGCTGTCGATCTGGATCAGCCTTTAGTTTGAGGATTTATTTGTGAACTGCCGTAGTAACTCTCGTGGTGGTGGTGAAATCATAAAGCTGGCAGCACAATAAAGCAAGCCCTTAAGATTGTGTTTGATCTCTGGGAGCTGAAAGTGCTGAATAAAATT